GGCCCGGAGCACTCCTCCGACTCCGAGTACACCCTCTCAGAGCCAGACTCGGAAGAGGAGGAAGATGAGGAGGAGGAGGAGGAGGAGACCACCGACGATCCCGAATACGATCCCGGCTACAAGGTGAAGCAGCGCCTGGGGGGCGGCCGAGGGGGTCCATCCCGCCGGGCCCCCCGAGCAGCGCAGCCCCCGGGCCCCGCGGCCCAGCCCTGCCAGCTCTGTGGCCGCCCTCCTCTGGGGGAGGCCCCCCCCGGCACCCCACCTTGCCGGCTCTGCTGCCCTGCGACAGCCCCCCAGGAAGCACCAGCCCCCGAAGGCAGGGTCCTCGGGGAGGAAGAGGAAGAGCCACCGAGGGCTGGGGAGAGGGCTAGGGAGGGCCGGCCAGCCGGGCCCCGGGAGGAGGAGGACGAGGAGGAGGAGGAGGACGAGGACGAGGACGAGGAGGGCTCCTACCAGTGTACGGAGTGCGAGGACTCCTTCGACAACCTCGGGGAGCTGCACGGCCACTTCATGCTGCATGCCCGCGGGGAGGTGTAGGCGGAGCCCCCACCCGGGGCGCGTGGCGGGAGGCGGGGGGAGCTGGGGGTGTCATGATGGTGCGGCGGCGGATGGGGCACCGCCGATCTGTGTCGTCTTAGCGCAGTAGATCTGGAATAAAAGCCAGACTGTGTGTGTCGGTCCGTCCAGCGTGTGAGTGTGCGCACGTGTCTGGACATACCCCCACCCCCAGACCCACCAGTGCCCATAGCGCGTCCTGGCCAACACGGCGGACGCTCCGTGGGTGCGTCCCCTGCTTGTGCTGTCTGTACCAGGTGGGTAGGCCGGCGGCAGGACCACGTGAGCCCCCAGATGTAAGCACCCCAGCCTCACAGTGGCACTGGGAGGGGCCTTGGGGAAGGACCCACTCGAGGACCCTCTCCTCTGGAAGCTGCAGTTTGTTTCTGTGCCCTGCCTTCCCTGGGCCATGCATCACGTGGCCACCGCTGGCTGAAAGGGGCAGGCAAGGCAGCCCCCCACAGTCATCCCGAAGCAGAAAACAGCTGGCTCTTGGAGGGCAGCTCAGCGCCCTCCCCCCCCCCCCCAGACTCCAGAAAGAGATTGTAATTATAATTACAGCTGCTGCGCTTCCCCGGCGCTTCCTGGGGCCCTGCTGACTCAGGGAAGTGGTGCGTCTAGGAACACCACCGAAATAGACCTGCGAGGAAGGATGTGAGCCCAGCCGCCACCACCGCCTTGTGTTTCCACGAGGTGCCCGCCGGGTCCCCAGAATAACTCAGAGGCAGAGGCTGAGCTGCGGTGCCTCCCGCAGCAAGTGCTCCTCCAGGCCCGCTGGGTGGTCCCAGGGACTCTTGTCGGGTCCTGAAGGAGCCTGGGAGGCCGGGAGGAAGGGGCGCAGCGGAGATGGACTGTCCACAAACCAACAAGGCCGAGCCCTTGGAGATGGTGACCAGCCCTGGGAGTATCAGTGAAGCAGAGCAGGGACGAAGGGTCGCCCTTTTACAACAGGGCCACCTGGACGGTGCTGGCGGTTAGGGGCCATGGAGCCTGCTCTCAGCCCTGTGGACCCCACACAAAACAGAACCCAGCCCTGCCTGGCCCGGCCCTGCACCCTCCTGTGCTTGAGCCCATGGCAGCCGCCGCATTGTCAGTCCACCCTCATTGAGGGCCCTCCTCCTCTTGTGTGACCCAGGACTGGCCCCTCCTGATAGCGTGTCCAAAGTACGGGAGATCCAGTCTCACCATCCTCGCGGCTAAGGAGTGAGCTGATCGTTCCTCCACAACCAGAGGCCTGTCATCTTCTGGCCAGCCGTATGTCTGTCTTTCCCCAGCACACGCATTCAGATGCCTCTGTTCCGCGCCCGTCTTCCTTCTTCATGGCCCAGCTTTCCCAGGCATATGGGTAATCGGAGAGGCTGCGTCCTGGGTCAGACGCACCAGCTCTGGGCGGACAGGGGTTGTGCAGTGGGCTGCTAAGGGCAGGCAGGGTCAGCAGTTCGAAACCACCAGCCACTCCAAGGGCGAACGACAGGGCTGTCTACTCCCAGCCAGCATTTTACAGCCTCGGCAACTCACAGGGGCACTTCTACCCTGTCCTGGGAGTTGGCTTCGATTCCATGACAGTGAGTTTGGGGCTTTTTTGTTTGTTTTCCCGTGTTGGGTCAGGCGCACTGTAGTTTTTAGCCCCCAGGTGGCGCAAATGGTTTCCTGGTGGCTGCGAGCCAGAGCGGCCTGCAGGCTGGGAGCAGCCTCACCCAGGGGTAGTGCAGGAGGAAGACTGGTGAGCCTGGTCCATAGGACGAAGGCCGCTGGGGGCACAGTTCTACTCTGAAGCACACAGCATGGCCCTGAGTGGGGACCGTGACAGGGCAGCAGCATCCAGTCCTCCCTGAGAAGGTGCTTTTGGAGCAGAGGCGGGAAGGGAGGGCGCCCTGCAGGTGGGTGGGGAAGACACTCCAGGCTGGACAAGGCAGGAGCCGGGCCCGGATGTCTGGGGGGCCGGAGGAGCCAAAGGAAGGGAAGCTGGAGCGATGAGGCCGAGGGTGGCAGAGGGGTGGATTTTCCACAGCCCCCTCAGGACGTTGCTTCTTATTCTGAGGTGGGAAGCGTTCGCTCACTGAAGCTGGGCACCGCCGCCCCTTTGAAAACAGAAGCCCAACTCTAACGATAAGCCCCCATCTGCTGAACCTTCGCCGCTGCGTTAGACAGGGTTCTCTAGAGAAACAAATGCTAATAATTTTTTTATATATTTATACAGATAGAACATAAGAAATAAACAGTTCATTAAATTATAAAGCAGCACAAATGACTCAGTGCAACTCACTCCCGTGAGACAGTTGTGAGACACTGGCAGTCCTTCAAGTCTTGAGGGCTGCCGGGTAGTCCTCTGTAGAGTAATTCAGGCTATCCGGGCACAGGCAGCAAACAGCAAGGCAGGCCACCAACAGTCAGCCAGATGACAGGGTCCGTCAGTCCCCAGCTCAAGAGATGTGAATTCCAATGGTGTGGCAAAGCAGGTCTTGAAGGATCCTCAAATTACAGCGACACAGTCCACGGGTTAGGTGTCCCACAGGTAGTGTAGCTTGCAAATGGAGGCACAGAACAAGTGAGGCAGCCACACACTGGTCCGATGATCAAAGAGCAAGAGACAAGAAAGGCGAGGCTCATGGAGCCATTTCTCTCTCCGCCCTTCAATTAATCCCACATGTTTATGGGCCAGATTGGCAGAATTAACTACCTCAGCTGCACACGGACCAGGTACTTTATGTGTGTTGATCCAGAGAAGCTTGGCAGCTCAGAGCCTTCAGGAATAGGACTTGCCTTCTCGTCATGGCCGCCAGGAAGCGGACCTGAAGTGCTCTATACGGACAGTCACGCCGATCCACAGGAGAAGGGGACTGGTCTTTGTTTACTCACCCATCCGAGAATGGACTGAGCACCTACTCCATGGTAGGCGCCATTCTGGGAGCAAAACACCTCCCTTTGTGCTGGGAGAAACAGCACAACCATGGGTGTCAGTAGATGCACACGGGGTCTAGGAGGTCAGAAAGTATGAGTGATGTAGAGGAAGGGCAGGGAAGGGTGTGGCTTTTAACAGGGTGGTCAGGGACGAGGCCACAGAGGAGGTCAGCCAGCGGAGCAGAGATGGGAAGGTGGAAGGTGCTGCATGCAGGGAGTGAGCCAGGGGCCGACCCAAGGCGACATCAAGTGAAAAGGCCCAGAGCTTGTGAGGAATGTGTCCAGAGGAATGCATGACACCCTCCCACCCCCACCCCAGGCTGGGCCAGCGTCGGGCCAGAGAGCCAGGCCTAGGAGGCCATTGTGTAGGGACTTTTGAGGTGGGAAGTCCATAGGATGTGAAATTAGAACCCATTTCCCAGGGTTCTCAGTGTGATGTAGACCCGGCCTTCCCAATAGCCCTCTGAGAAGATTGGCTGTTATTCTATCTATTTGCTGGCGTAGTGCGTTAATGTGTCTGCCTGCCAACCGCAAGGTCAGCAGTTCAAAACCACAGCCTCTCCGAGGGAGAAAGATGAGGCTTTCTGGTCCCATACAGAGTCCTGGTCTCAGAAGCCTCCAGGGCCACTTCTGCCCTGTCTTATAGGGTCACCGCTAGCTGGAAACGATGCCGTGGCAGTGAGTGACAGGGCCTGAGACGAAAGCCTCTTTCAAAACCCACACTTCTCACCCAGGCAGCTTTGAAAATCTCTTCCCACCCGCCAATCTAGCCCTAGCTCTCATGGGCAGGACTTAATGGAAGTCAGCTCTGAAGGGTGCGGGGGGGGGGGGGCAGGCGGGCGGGGCTTGGCAGACCAAGAACCCTTGGCATCACAAAGCAGGGTGGCTGGCGGCTGCCAGACCATAAATAGTGGGCACAGCCAACGGGCCCTGGCCCAGGCTCTCAGTGAGCTGGCTCTGAGGTGTTGGGCAGGAAGCAGTAAGGGCATCACCTGGGTTCTGGGGTAAGGACACAGATTGACAACTCCCTGCTATCCAGTCAGTGCCAACTCAGAGCAACCCTATAGGGAAGGGTAGAACTGTCCTTGTGGGTTTCCCAGACTATAACTCTACGGGACTTAGAGCCTCCTTTCTCTCCCAAAGAGCAACTGCTGGTTTTGAACCGCTGACTTCGTTGGGTGAGCAGCCCAGCGTGTGACCACTACATCACTAGGGTTTCTAAGGACATAGATAATGAAAGTGTGATCATTCCAGACGGTGGTGAAGAGTCCTAGGAAGAAAATCGATCCTAATGATTGGGGGGTGTCAGGGCCGAGGAGGCAGAGTTGTGGAATGAGCACCCCAGGCGGAGGCCACGGCAGATCACGAGCCCCAGGCAGCAGCAGCCAGCCGGGGGTGGATGGTTGGCCTCTGGTCAGAGAGAGGCCAGGCTGGAGCGGGCCTTGTGAGGGCACTGGGAGAGCTGAGATGCAGTCACCTCATTGGGTTTAGGGAGCTTTATCAATGAGAGGGGTCCTAGGTGGTGTAGTGGTTACATGTTGGGCTGCCAACCATAAGGTCAGCCGTTCGAAATCCTCAGCCACTCCATGGGTAAAGAGGAGGCGTTCTTCTGGAAGAGAGTTGCGTGACACTCCCAGGGGCGGTTCTAGTCCGTCCTGGAGGGTCAGGGTGCATCAGAATCAAATCAATAGCCATTTTGGTTATTGACGGAGGAGAAATGATGGCGGGGTGGGGTGGGGGGTGTCGGTTGGGGGGGGGTTGGTCAAGTACGGAAGAGTAGCTAGGCTTCAGGAGTTCAGAAGGGGCACCCCTGGGTTTTTGAATATTGTGTTAGAAATGGTTCTCTAGAGAAATGAAACCAGGCTCTTAGGATTTTATATATATATGTAGGTTTATACAGCGAGAAGGAATATAACAGCTAGTTAGTCTACACAGCAGTACAGATGGTTCAGTTCAACTCACTTCTATGGAACAGTTAATATACTGGAAGTCCTTCAATCACATGGGCTGCCCGGTCCAAGGTCAAGGAAGCAGACAGCCGAGTCCTCCCTCGGGCAAGGCAAACAGAGTCTGTCCACAGGCAGCAAGCAGCAGGGTGGGTCACCACCAGTCAGTAGCTCTGGAGCTTATTAGCAAAGCAGGCCCAGGTGGGATATTGAAAGCAAGCAATGCAAGGGGACAGGATCCCAGCCTCTAGCTCAAGGGATGTATACACCAGCAGCAC